AAACCCTGCTCCCGCCGCTCCCGACGCCGACGCCGACGCCGACGCGACGGTTGTCTTCCACCGGCGGTAGCTTCCCAGCCAGCTTGCTCCGGATTGCTTAAAAGAATCCGTAATTTCTTAAGACTATTGATTGCTGATTTTTTTTTCTAATTTTCTATCCGGTGTTCATTTTCTACTGATTTTTTATTTGTTTGGTTTCTGCGTTTGCGTCATTTCTATTGATGTTTTTTTTTTTTCTTTTTTTTTTTTAATTTTTAATTATATTTTTCTTGGTTAACTCTCAGCCGTTGATACATATATGGTGTTACATTTTCTTGCAGTTATGGTGGGACTTTCCCTAGGAGAGCAAAACTTCATAAAGGGCGGAATTGCTCAGGATTTGCGTACCGATGGTCGGAAACGATTAACTTACCGCCCCATTTTCGTCGAAACCGGTATCATTCCTCAGGTAAATCATGTTTAAATTGGCTTCGTTTTTTTTATTCGTCGTCGATTATCTAATCGAATAATTCTTACTGGTCAATTCTTAAGGCAAGTGGCTCAGCACGAGTGAAGTTGGGTGGAACAGATGTTATTGCCAGCGTAAAGGTACAGTAGAATCTCAATAAATTAATTCCGGTCCCGATTCGGTGTAAACATACGAAATTATTAGTTCGATGTTAAATTAATAGGTTTTTGTTAGTCCCGACTGTATTAATTATAGAGGTTTAAATGTATTTTGCTACACGACGTCAAATGTTCACTTTGTATATGAGTTGAACTTTATTTTGCGTTGAATTTTGTGCAACGTGTTGTCTCTTTTGTAGGCTGAGCTTGGAAGGCCGAATCCGTCACATCCCGACAAAGGAAAAGTTTCGATATATGTTGATTGCAGCCCCACAGCTGAACCAACTTTTGAGGTTTAAGAATGTTTCGCTGTTTTATATGAATGTTCGTGTTTGCTTTTGCGGTTGCTGTTAAATTATGTCACTCGAATCACGTTAAACACTTGTGATTTAAGAGATTTTGTTCGTTTTATTCAACAATTCTTTTTAGGGTATGTAGAAAGTAAAACATAAACAAGAGCTAGTAAGCTCTCAAACACGTTTCTTAAAGTTGAATCTTGGCAAGCCAGCTTGTATTGCACGCCGAAGTGGAAAATTCCGAGTTATTGTGTGTATCTTTCTTTATATGTGATACAATACGAGGATGAATTCTTATTACACAATGGCTGTGAACAAAGGTCTTATTGTAAGATGCTGGTCTTAAAAACGGAACTCTCTCTCTTATCAGTGAGCTGCTTCGAAATTGGAATACTTGTTTGATGCGTAAAAATAAGGATTTCACAATTAATATGTACGTTGATATATATATACATATATATATATCATATATATATATATATATATATATATATAGATATATATATATATATATATATATAATTACCTTTAATTATTGGTCGTATCTTTAATAATAATAATGCAAGCATACATCTACTTCTCGTTCAATTCAACCATAAAGTATTGTGGCTCGTCAAAAGTTCTTATCATTCTAAATCACAGGGCAGAGGGGGTGAGGAATTATCCACAGAGCTCTCGTCAGCGCTTCAGAGATGTTTGTTAGGTGGTAAAAGTGGATCAGGTACATAGGGTTTAATAATACTTTATTTGCAATCGGAGTCGTATTTTAACGTAATACTACTCGACTTCATCTCTACGAATTTTGCTGCAGGAGCTGGGATCGATCTTTCGTCTCTATCCATTGTTCAGGGGAAGGTCTGTTGGGATCTTTACATAGATGGTCTCGTCGTTAGTTCAGACGGTAATTTGTTGGACGCGTTGGGAGCTGCCATTAAGGTAATTCATAAGTTGATGATTGTGAGTATCGTTGGAAGTAATCGTTTATTTCTAAAAGTCGGAGGTTTTTGCAGATGTTAATAATAATCATTTTTTAGCAGTTAATTTATAAGTTGACGTGTTTGCAAAAATAAGCTTTTAAGTTGCAGCTTATTTAGTTGAAATGTCTAAATTGTCCTAATAAATGGAATTTGTACAAGGAAAGTAATAGGTTAAATCGGGTGCTTCTATGTGGCTTAAAACTGCTTATTTAGCAAACATTAGTAAACTGATTACGAGCCAAAAAAGCTCATCATCACTTTTGCAAAATCACTTTGCAAAAGCTTTTGCTAACTAACACCGCATTAGAGACTCTTGATTTAGTGCATCGTGTTTTTACTGTTGTCCTATTTTACCCTTGTTTAGGCAAATTGGAAGTGATTTTATTGAAAAATGAAGAAACTTATACGTCGTTATTTTGTTTTTAATTATGCTTTTTCTTAGGCAGCACTAAGCAACACAGCTATTCCAAAAGTCCAAGTTGCTGCTAATGCCTCTGCCGATCAGCAGCCAGAGGTTGATGTGAGTGACGAAGAATTTCTACAGTTCGACACAACTGCAGTCCCTGTTATAGTTACTTTAACCAAGGTAAAAACCTTTTTTTTTTTTATTATTATTATTAAGGGCAAGTTACGACCACCCCCTCACCCCCTGAGGTATGGCCAAATTACGAAAAAACTCCTCTTGTTTGGGTAATTACAGCCACCCCCTCTTTTAAAATATTTTTACATCAAATTTATGTAATTCGGTTATTTACCGAACCAAATCGTATACTCAGTTCGGTAAACGGTATGAAATGTTGGCGTACCGAAATTTCGGTTCGGTTTTACCGATTTAACATCCCTAAATTTACCTCTGGAGGGGTATTTTCGTAAGATAATACATAAGGGGTGGCTGTAGTTACCCAAACAGGAGGGGTTTTTCGTAATTTGACCATAACTTAGGGGTGGCCGTAATTTGGCCTTATTGTTATTATTATTAATGGGTAAATTACATACACCCCCTAAGGTATGGTCAAATTACAAAAACCCCCCTCTTGTTTGGATAATTACAACCACTCCCTCAACTCCTCAAGTTTAGTGGAATCTTCGAGATTATATGGAAGATTATCACTTTTGTACCCGTTTTATCCCATTCAAACTCTACATTATGAAGCGGTCATAATGTGTGATTTTTAGCTTGTATATATCAGTTTGTGATGCATCGGAAACTGTATTTTTACACAAAACGAGTACAAACTAAAACACATTTCACGGAATCTAGATGATTATGTTGAATTTGGCACCATAAGGGTGGATGTGTAAGAAAAAATCATAGTTGAGGGGGTATATATAATTATCCAAACAAGAGGGGGGTTTTTGTAATTTGACCATACCTCAGGGGTGTTTGTAATTTACCCTATTATTAATTTATCGGGTTCTTTTTTTTTTTCTTTTTTTTTTTTTGCGAGCCCCAGGCTTGACATATAGGATTGACTAAAAAATTGTAGGTGGGGAGGCATTATATTGTAGATGCAACTACAGAAGAGGAGTCGCAAATGAGTTCGGCTATTTCGGTTTCTATAAACAGGCAAGGTGGAATATGCGGTTTAACGAAAAGGGGTGGTGCTGGGCTCGATCCAAGCATTATACTCGACATGATATCTGTTTCTAAACATGTGAGTGAGCAGTTGATGAACAAATTGGATTCGGAAATCGCTGCAGCCGAGGCTTGTGATGAAGATGATGAAATGGATTCTTAGTACTTCCGTTTTTTTCGTTTTAGTTTTCTCGGGACAACTAGGTTTATCTTGCTTTAACAGTATTTTCTTGAGCTTTGTGGGAAATATAATAGATTGCGTTTTTATGAATTCTTCACTCCAATCAATTGTAACGACTGCAGATTCAATTTTACGTTCGATGTTGTAGTTCGCCAATGTAGAAAATGATTGGGTCGATGTCGATTTTAATTGAAATGACAGTATTGCCCATCAATTGGAATGTGCAATTCGAATGAGTTTTTACCAACGTAGTCGTAAAATATTTCGTCGCTTGAGTTTTTTAGAGAAAAATAACACATTTCATCACTAAAATTCACCAAAATCGACACTTTTAGTTTAAAATCACACCAAGAAATATAACCCTAGAAGAATACACAAATTATTTTTTGGGAACCAACAGCCAATCATATAGGTACACTAGTAAATCTTCACTCTCGTGCAAGAAAAAAACCCATCCTAAACTTCATTTCTAGTCCCTCAAAATCTAGTTTATCACAACTAGAAAGAAAGAAAGAAAAAAATCATTCACCTAAACACCCGAAGCGAGTGGTTCGAAGTAGTGAACCCTCCATCGACCACGAGATTCGCCCCACTCACGTACCTCGCCTCGTCACTCGCCAAGAAAACCACCGCATTCGCCACGTCATCAACCGTCAACTCCACCCCACTCAAATTCGCTTGTGCCCCCACAAAGTTCCGAAACCCCGCCAAAGCATCCTCGGTCCTCTCCTCCTCCGGCAAGTGTGCCACCGCCAACCCCGTCTCCACCGCGTAAGGTGAGACGCAGTTAACCCTAATCCCATGCTTCCCCAACTCCGCCGCCACATTTCTAGTCAACCCCAAAACCGCGTGCTTCGAGCCCGCGTAAGCATGTGGGCCCGCCCCACCAACAACACTCGCCACGCTAGCAATAGATACAATCGAGCCCCTTTTCGCGGGTATCATTATCCGAGCCGCGTGCTTCATACCTATAAAAAGATAATATATGGTGTTAAATATTAAAGTCAATATGATCTTTTGGTTATTATAATAAAGAGTTTATTGCAATTAGTACTCGTGTCTTTCATCGAATTTATAGGAGCTATAATTTAGTAAGTTATAGTTTTGCAACAATATTTTTTTGTATTTTCCTAGATTTTTTATAGGTGCTTCGTACCTATAAAAACGCCCTTTACGTTTATGTCGAAGATCTTTTCGAAAATCGGGATTTCAAAATCGCGGATATCGGGGCAAGGTGGGCCCGATGTGCCCGCATTGTTGACCATTATATCGAGGGTCCCGTATTTTTCGACGGCGAGATCAACGGCGTTTCTGACGTGGTCCTCCATCGTGACGTCGCAGTGGACGGTGGAGATTTCGGAGCCGCCACCTAAGCGCTCGTGGAGTTGGGAGCCGAGGTCGTCTTGGATATCGGCTATGACGACTTTTGCGCCGTGGCGGTGGAATAATCGCACGATGCTCTCTCCGATGCCGCTCGCGCCACCTGTCACTACGGACACCTTCCCTAGTAATCTGCGATCGTGAAAGAAATGCACAAGGGTTTTTAGATGTTATATTCATTGAGAAACTAAACAAATCTAGCCCCATTTTCGGATAATTTTCAGGCGATTTATTCGGTGAGACTTTCTCAATTAGTTGCTGCTTTTCGACATGTTCGAAATCGAAACGGGTCGATCTAGGGCTTTCGGAACTTGAATTAAATGACCTAAAATACTTGGAAAAAATATTGAAACACAGACCATTATTCTGCAATGAATGATTACAAAATTAAATTCAATACCTTTAAACTACTTCAAATTAGTACAACCATCACCACACAAATATGTTCAAAGACTCCATTTTTAAACAATCAAGATCGCATATCAAACTCAAAATTCATAATAAAAATTAAATCTTTCATCAATCAAACTAACTTAAAACTGATCCCAAACACCCACAAAATCAAAATCACAGAAACCCACAAAAAAAAAAATTGTGAGTCAAAATCAAGAACGGATTTTTACAGTAAAAAATAAGAAATAAATAAAAAGTGAAGTATATTTTTAGCATTACCTTTGAGTGGGAAGAGATGCTTCGCTTGATATTCTTGATGCCATGCCTTCAGTTTACAGGGTCTTGCAGAATTCTCTCTTTGAATTTAAAGAATCTTTTATTTATCACAAAAATAATAAATAAATATATAAATTCAAGACACCCTTTTTCTCAGACAAGCAAGGAAGCACTCATACATCAACTTTTACAACTTATTTGCTGTTGATCTGTTGTTGTTGTGTGTACTATGTTTTTTTGTGCTTGTCGTTATTTTGTAGTGCTTATATATTACAGTGTGATCAAGAAAAGTGGTTGACCTATTTGGCCCCCCTCTTGTTATAGAAAGAAATTAATTATTGAATAAAGATATTAAGAATTTAAGATATAGTTAGTTGTACTTGTATCATTGTGTGTAATTATGTGTACAATTTATAAATATTTAATTTTTTTAATTACGTTGCAAGCAACAATAACTTGATAAATAATGGCTTATGTCACCCTGTTTAATAAAAAAAAAATTAAAAAGAAAAAAAAAATTGACCTTGTAAACGGCCTAGAACTGCACTATTTGATTGTTTATTATTTAAAGTTGTTTACTTATTGCGACTGAGTTTACTCTATGTAGTTTTGAATTTATTAAACGTTCAGAAAACTCGTTAGCGTGTACCATTGCTAAAAATCATGGTTATACTTGTAAGGAAGTGGTAATTCTTCCCATGGATTTGGCTAATATCGCCTAATAATATTCTCGTTTCTCCTCAAAAAGAAAAAAATGGTTATTACTGGGGCAAATTATGGCTACCCCCACACGTACGGTCAAATTACGAAAAATTCCTCTTGTTTGGGTAATTACAACCACCCTCCTTTTAAATATTTTTACAAAAAAATATGTAATTCGGTTATTTACCTAACCAAATCGTATATTTAGTTCGATAACCGGTATTAAATGTTGTCGTACCGAAATCTCGGTTCGGTTTTACCAAATTAACATCCTTAAATTTACCTCTGAAGAGGTCTTTTCGTAAAATAATACATAGTTTAGGGGGTGGTTGTAATTACCTAAACATGAGGAGTATTCATAATTTAATCATAACTCAGGGGTAGTCGTAATTTGCCCTTATTATTGAATCAATTTCTTATTTAATTTCGCTCAATTGAAATACTTCTACTTCTCTTAATTGGAATAATAGAATTGGATTTATTTTTGACATTTCTTCTGATCTTATTTTGAAAATAAAAATAAAACTTTCGGCAATCAATTTCTTATTTATTTTGAAACTTATCGAAGTAATTTTGTTTTCCCTTTGAAAACTGTTAGAACTCGAAAATATTTCTTTTTCTAAATTTTCAATTTTAATTTTGTAGTATTCCACTTAACACCTAAAGATAGCATTTGTTTAAAACTCAATCTAAATAGAAATAATAGGTGTATATAACTATATATATATATATATATATATATATATATATATATATATATATGCGCGTGATTGTACGTAAATCTATGGTACTATTCAGAATAGGGCTCCAATAAAAATATGATTTTGAAGGAAATGGATTTCTTTTTTTTTGGGAGATTTTTTTAGTTTAATTATATTGGTATTTATTAAAAATTATGTGATACTAATAATTTTGTACTAAAAAAAGAATTTGAGTACAAAATAATCCAAACACAAAATACCGATATCTAAATTGTTGGACGGTGAAAGTCGGCTGTGTATCACGTGGCTGGGGTAGTGAGCCGCATTTTGGACGGCGGCTTGTGGGGTCCACCACGCACATGCACATCTGCTACTTCAAGTTATTTTATCAATTCATAATTTAATATATATAAAATTAGTTTCTTATATTAAATTAAGAAATTGGGAAATTAGCTGGAAGCCCCAAAAAATTAAAAAAATTACGAAAACCCCCATGAACTTAGGATAAATAACAAAAAACACCATATTTATTCATAAATTACCAAAACATCCATGAGGTTTGTTTCCGTCTTACACCAACTTCTTACAGTGTGACTTTTCACAATTTGAGATATTTTCTTTTATTTCTCACCTATTTAACATAAGGTATAATGGACAGTATACATTTTTTTTATTAAAACACTCGATCAACATTTAATAAGAGGGAGATTTTGGTTATTACAGATAAGTGGGGCGTTTTTTTTGTTATTTAGCCTAAGTTTGGGGGATTTTTTGTAATTTATCCAAACATATGGCATCTAACATTAATAACAAGCGGATTTTGCACTTTTGCTAAAAGTTTTTGTGCTCTATCTCTAATGATAGATCTGGAGTCACTCTAACAAAATTGCTTATAAAAACTAACAATAACGGTGACGCTAATATGCACAATTTTAGTTATATTAATAAGCAAGATTAAATTAAAAAAATTATTTACAGAACTTAGTTAAATAATGAGCAAAAGTCTAGCAAAAAGACATGTATTTTCATGTAATTTTACAATGAAATTTGGATTAATTAGAAAGCTTAGAAAATTTATTTACATAATTTAGTTAAAAAAAAAACTGAAAAAAAAAAAACGTAAATCTATGATGCATGCATGACCACCAACATTGCTATTTGCATCACCAAACAATTTTTCATATTTTTCCGTTTTGGTTTTCATGATTATTAGATTACAGCACAAGGGAACGAGTGTAACCAAAATTATATGTGTGTACCTGTTTGTAATTCCGTATGTGTACATGTAGGTGTGTGATGTGTGTGTGTGTGTGTGTGTGTGTGTGCGCGCGTGCGCGTGCGCATGTGTTTGGTTGTGTGGCATCGTTTCGACGATGGCAGCAACAGAGAGCACAGATGGATCAAATTTGACAGGGTAGAGCGGGTTGGACGGTCTCACGGGGTGCAGTTAGTTAGACGGGATGAAGATGAGATTGAATAACATAGAACTTTTAGCAAATTACAAAAAATCGACTATCATAATCTGAAAAATTATTGGTATTGGCTCAAGCTCACATGCCATCAGCCTCATTAACTCGACTTATGTATTTTTTCGGGTTGCGGCTTTATATCGGACCCCATTACTATATAACTGTAATGAGAATTTTTTTTTATAAAAACTATTGATAAACAAGATTTACCTCCATTGAAGTCAATCAAAAAAAAAAAAACACTAAACGATCGTTGCAAATTATTAGAAAACATAAAAACAAGATTGAAAGAAGTAAAAAAAGATTAGTAACTCTTATTAGTTATTATTGAAATATTTTATATCCTCAAATCTCGGCTAAATTTCAGTAATTAGATTTCGGTGGGTATTTTACATTTGATTCATCTTTTACTTATTGTCGGTGCGACCACTTAACTCCTTTCATTTTGCAAAATAAAATAATCTCTTACGGTCGTAATTTGTACGTTGAGTCATAACATTAAAATAATAAATATATTATATATTTTATTATTAACCTTATCGGTCGGGCATTGTTCAGATTGAGCCATAATAGGCTCAAACTCGACTCATAAATAAATCAATTTTAGTAAATGGCGAATGGCAAAAAGGCCCATCATATGGGACACAAAAAAAAAAACAGTCTCTCAATTAAACTCATCCCCATGTCTTTAGTCTAAAATACCCTCCATAATATAATTCTAATCAATTCCACCCATTATGCTCTAACTTCCTTAATATTACACATTGACCCCGGATTTAAACAAATATATCACATTAACCCCCAATTTTTTTTTTTCAGAAAATAATTTTTTTTCTGAAATGTTTTTTTTTTCCGGCTAGATTCTGGCGTTGGCCGCCGGAGACCGCCGTTGACTTTTTTTTTTCGAATTTTTTTTTTCTTAGAAAACAAATATTTTAATTAATATTACTGTCTTGGCTACTAAATTACTATCTCAGACAGTAATATTACTGTTTGGGACAATAATATTATGAATATTATTTTCCCGAACAGTAATATTATTAATATTATTGTCTAAGACAGTTAAATTACTGTTGGAAACAGTAATTTAGCATCCAAGGCAGGAATATTAATTAAAATAATTTTTTTAAAGAAAAAAATTAAAACAAAAAAAAAATCAATTAACAGTTAAATTACTGTCTCCGACAGTTAAATAACTGCAGGAGAGTAATTTAGCAACGAATATAGTAATATTAATTAAAAATATTTTTTTAAGAATAAAAAAGTGAACTAACAGTTAAATTACGGTCTCCGACAGTTAAATAACTGCTGGAGACAATAATTTAGCAACGAATATAGTAATATTAATTAAAAATATTTTTTTAAGAATAAAAAAGTCAATTAACAGTTGAATTACTGTCTCCGACAGTTAAATAACTGATGGAGACAATAATTTAGCAACGAATACAGTAATATTAATTAAAATATTTTTGAAGAAAAAAAAAAGTCAAATAACAGTTAAATTATTGTCTCTGCAGTTAAATAACTGCCGGAGACAGTAATTTAGCAGCCATGACAGTAATATTAATGAAAATATTTTTTTTAAGAAAAAAAAAAAAAAAATCAACGGCGGCGACCGGTGGTCTCCGGTGGTGGCGGGTCAAAATTGGGGTCAAATTTGAAATTAGGGTTAAAATTGGTTAATTGATGAAATTTGGCTAAATTGAGGTGTAAATCATGAAATTGAAGTTGAATTGGGTTTCAATGAATTGGGGGTAATTCTGGTATATATAAAAGGATTTTCCTTATTTGCAAATAAGTTTGAATGGACTGGATTTATTTGAAAGACAAAAAAATTGGATGTCCCTCTTTTAATTAAGTGCCCTTGTCATGGGCTTATTTGCCATTTACCCTTTCCTAAAAAGTAGGTTCAACTCAAATATAAGTGGGCAAAACCATTGAATTTCGGTTAGGCCCGGCTCAATGCTCAGTCTTAATTATTGGCCTCCAACGGTATTTAGCAAATTGTCCCTACTAACTTATATAAATAAATTATAATTTGATAGAGTATAAACTATCAAACATATTCCTATAAGAAGAAATATCAAACAAAATTATCACCTAGTAAATATATTTTTTATTTAACTATTTTGGTAACAATAAAATGCTTCTCCATGTTTCAAAAACCGGGGAACCGAATAAACTAACTGGGTCACAGTTGGACCGATTCGACAGATCCGACCGATTTATTTTATATGTTTAATTTATTTTCATTTTAAAATATAGATGCTAGAAAATTTTGTATATCATTCAGCACGAACTTATAAATTTTTAATTCAACTAGATAATCAACCATAAAATCTAAAAAAATCTTTTTTGATAAAGTGTAAAATCTAATATAAAAGGGATTAAATCAAACTATACAATAATTCCTTTTTTTTTTTTTTTAATTTACAGAGAATTATAAATATTCAATTTTTTTTTTAATTACAGTGCATACAATAAATAAATACAGCATGCCTTCAAATAATAAGTTCGAGAGCAGTAGTAAAACAAATAAATAAGTTAAATAACATAGAGTAATAAATTCTTGGGTAAATTCCACTTTACCCCCTTGTACTCTGCCCAAGAACCACTTTACCCCCTCGTACTCTTAATTTCGTCGATTTACCCCCTTGTACTTGTACAATTTCCCAATACAACCCTCTTCATCAACTTTTTTCGATTTTGACTCTGACGCCATTTGGTCAAGAGTCAAAATATTGACGTAAATATTGAATTTTTTCGATTTTGACTCTCGAGATTAGAAAAGAGAAAGTTTCACACATTCATATATTTTTTTCTTTGCACTGGGTGGAATCGATCAATTTTTGGGTCTTGATTTTTACTAAGTTAGGGGTTCAATTTGGGGATACCTTGGAAGGGGAACTGGTGGGAGAAGAAGAAATGACAATATTGACGGAGAAGAAACGACGCGTTATAGGCAGTGGCAATTTTGTAATTTACAGAGTTGACCAAATGGCGTTAGAGTCAAAATTGACAAAAATTGAAGAAAAGGGCTGTATTGGGAAATTGTACAAGTACAAGGGGGTAAATAGATAAAATTGAGAGTACGAGGGGGTAAAGTGACTCTCAGGCAGAGTACGAGGGGGTAAAGTGGAATTTACCCTAAATTCTTATGCAGAAACTACAGAACCACTGCGAATTACAAAACCCTAATCCCTAAATTGGCAAAGAAAATGGCGCTTCTCAGAGCTCGCTTTCCTTCCTCCACTCTTCTCCGCTCACTTCTCAGCGCTCCTTCACGCTCACTCTCTTCGGGTAAGAATTTTTTATATTTACGTAAATCGCGCATATTTCTTTGCGTCTCGCTGATAATTTACTGTAATTTCTTCATTAGCAATGTTAAATGTTGAATTCGAATAAATGAATTGATTGGATACGGAACTTGTTTTCGATCAATTTAAAATCAGAATTACTGATGTAATGAGAAAATTGAAGAAAGTCTTAATCTTGGAGCTAACAGATTTAAAAAAAATTTTAAAAAATTGGGCATTTTGTTTTTGATTGTTGCTAATAAATGTGATTTGCAGGTGCTATTGAGCCGGTGGTCGAGTCGAAAGGAGGAGTGCAATCATGGAAGACGACGATGATGAATCACATGGCGACGCAGGACATAAGCTCTCAAATCGGGAGTTGTATGCCTCTGTCACTTATGCGGATCGGGACCATGATCCACAACATTGAGATTCGACCCGGTCAGGGCGGTAAACTCGTACGTGCTGCTGGTACCGAGGCGAAGATACTTACCGAGCCTCATAGGGTAGCCAGGTAAAACGAGTTCAGTTAACGACCCTTGCGTTCGTCATTTGATTTCTCCTAATTTTTAAGTAGAACTCGAGTCTATCTTGAGCGAGTAGAATTTCGTAAAACACTAGATTTGTTGTTCGTTGAGTAGTATAGTAGGCCTCGTTTGGGGAAATTTTTGATAAGATTGATTTTGTCCATGATGATGTAATTTTTTATTATCTTATGTTTGTGATTTATGGTTGTATTATCACTGCATTAAGTAGTATGTTTCATAGGATTGTGTAATAATAGGGATTGCGGTTGGACTCAATGTAATTCGTATTCTCCGGACCCGTTTTTTTTATTTTTTTTTATCGTGGGATTGAACCTAAACCAACCCCGATACATCTTGATTATACGTGATTATATAGTCTATCAATTCCTGTCATTGTTCACAAACGAGGCGTTAGTGTACATTTGTCCCCAGCTAGATAAAATTGTCTCTCAGCCATGTTCATCAACAATATTTAGGTCAGCTTTTTTTACGTTTTTCTTGTTTTTTGTTGTGGGGAGCATGTATACAACTGTGGTTGGTAAAAGAAAAATGAAGTATGATTCGTTAAGTTCATACATCCTACGAGACCTCTAATTTCGTAGCCTTTAAAAAAAATTGTATTCAATTCGTCGTTTGAACACGTTGTGATTGTCTTTTAGGTACTGCGAGATATTACTGCCATCGGGGGAAAAGAAAATGATAGACAAGAGATGTAGAGCGACAATAGGGACAGTTTCGAATCCCGAGCATGGAGCAAAGAAGCTAAGGAAGGCCGGGCACAGCCGGTGGTTGGGGCGGCGGCCGGTGGTGCGAGGTGTGGCTATGAACCCAATTGATCATCCGCATGGTGGCGGTGAAGGGAGGAGCAAGAGTAGCGGGAGTCATGGCCGTGGGTCCCTCACCCCTTGGGGGAAGCCCACTAAGGGTGGGTACAAAACCGCTCGTCTTAAGAAAAAGAAAGTAGGGTAAAATAGTAATCATTCTCGAGAGGAGGTTTTTTTTTGCGCACCGTTTCGTTTGCCTATGTGTTTTTGGTGACTTTTACTCGTGTGCTTTCTTTATTTTGAGAAGCAAGTTGGGAGAAAAAAATAACGTGTAGTTATCTTTGAGATTATTACATGGAAAAGCGTTGCAGTTGAGATTTACTGGTTAGCGGTTCAGCCTGTGTACTTTTTGCTGTTTGATTTTGTGGCGAGTTCTTGTTACGAATTTTGGTTTATTGTGGACAAATTAGTCGAGATAAATTGTCTATTCTAGACACTTCAGAATAGGTAGGTAAATTGACTGCAGTCGGTATAAAGTTCATGAGTTTGATATCTACTTGTGCGCGTGTATGTATTTTGCGCGTTTTATTCGGTGTATTTCAAATGCAGTCTGCTAGAAAATTGAACTTTATACTCTATCTTTGGTTTTACGCAAAAAAAAGTTGATTTATTGATCTATTGTTGGCTAAGTTGTGCACCCTCGAAACACAATAAACATTAAGTACGTATAAATTTGATATTTCAGTTGCATGTTTTGAGAGTGTGTATTGCCATTATCTTTTCAACATGTTTACATAAATGATAAGTATAAAATTATATATTAATCGAGTATTGGCGAGTATTGGCGAAAACCGTGACGGTTTTCTATGTCGAAAAATTTTCACGATTTTTTTTTTTATTTTCATTAATTTCCGTGGGCAAAAAAATTAATAAAAATATGAGATAACTGTAATATGTAAATTTTTAATGCTAGTTAAAATATTTATTCAGTTTAGAGAAAAGATAGTCCCCAATAGTTATTGTGATTACCTGGTAGTGGTTGATTCAATCTTTCATTCAATTCAAGATACATTTTTTTTTAATTTAAAATAAAGGAACCCTATATTAATCATATAGGTGCACTAGGTAAATTTCGATTTTTTTTTTTGTGAGTGTGTGTAAGGATTCTTTAGTATTTATTGAACATTTCACAGTTGAAATGAAAAATAATAACAAGATAATATTTTACCCTTTTTTTTTTTTTTAAACTGAGTCTTAACTTGACAAATATATTTTGAAATATTACTGGCATTAAATAAATCAATTAAGTTAACAAGGGCTTGTTGATAAGTCTGAATCGAAATCGAACACATGGTTATTCAAGCTTGTTTCAATTTTTTTTTATCGAACTTCCAAAAGTGTATTGAACTGGTTTGACAAGCAATTAGGTCAAGTTCTTTGAACTTTAATTAAAACGAGTGCGAATCCAGCGAGCCCGACTAGTTTGATTTGTTTTCTTGCAATATTTTTCGAACTTGAGTTCGAACTGAATTTTAAAGCTTATCAGAACAAAAAATATGGACTAAAATTTGTCAGTTATGTTAACAAATCGAGCTCAAAAAGCTTTAAACCACGGATGATCTAAAATCAAAGTGATTTGATTTTCAACACTAGCTAAGTATGCATTCACCAATTTTGAACACTAGTCACATACTTTATAAGATTAAATAAATTCATAATAGTCCTCCTTTTTTTTCCCATTTTTTTATAATTTTTTTAAAGTTTTTTAAATTTTTTAAATTTTTAAATTTTAAAAAAAGGAATTCATACATGTCTTTAGTCGGTTAATAATAATACTAATATTTATAAAAAGAATACTAATATTTATATAAAAAAAAATAATACTAATATTTATAAAAAAAAATAATAATATTTTAAATAAATAAATAAATATTAGTCGGTTAAGAATAATACTAATAACGGCATACTCCAATGTACAGCCCGTAGTCCCCAATCCTCGAAAGGTTTATCACTAAAAACCCTAATTCATTTCTCACTTCATGCAAAAGCCCTAAATTATTCGCAAATTTCTCTAAGAGATGACGAAAATCTACGGTACCGGAATGTACGATTTCCGGCGGCACCGGGTGGCTGAGTACCCGGTGGCTGCGGACGGGCTTCCCCTGCCGGAAAAGCCTCCGGAGTCCAAACCGGGTTCCGATGTACCCAGCTCCATGACTCTAATCGAGATTCAAAGAGACCGTCTCACGAAAATTGCGGCTGAAAATTGGGCGAAAACCGCGGATTCGGGCCCGAAGAAGCCCTTCAGCCCGGACCTTGTTAATGAGATATACTACACTGAGTTAACTGTAAAAGGTAACCGCGCAAAACTTTTTGGTTAGTTCGTGATGTTTTGAAGTAAAGATATTCTATATTTATGTGGGTTTGCACCATATTGAAGCTGGATTTTGTTATCTTTTCCTAGTAGTAGTGTTAAGCGGGATTGGAGATTGGGCAACTATTGCTATTCGACGAATGTTGTAGTCGATTTTGATATTTAGTATTTAGAAGGGAGAAAGAATTGGTGATGCTGTATTTTATGCTATGTGAGTTTGCACCGTACTGAAGCTGGAGTTTGTTATATTTTCTAGTAATAGGTAAGAGGATTGGGAAGTGGTGTACTCCTGTTTCTCTGACGATTGTTGTAGTGAAAATTGAATAATTATTATTTAGAAGGAAGAAATAGTTGGGGTAGTATAGTAGATGTTGCATTCCGTGAGTTTTGATGTATAATCGTATTGGTTCAAGTAGCATGATTAAGAAATCATGAGTTTGAAACATGTATTCGCTTATGCAACATGATCGTATAAGTATGATGAGTATATGAATGACTGTGGAACTATTGACTATTATTTTTACAGTAGAGAATGATTTCTAGCTGATGTTTGTAATTCTATACATGAAATTCTAGTTAAGTTACAATTTTTGATGAATATAGCGGGGAGAAAGCCAGTGCCATTGCAGAGGGTGATGATACTAGAAGTTAGTCAATACTTGGAGAATTACCTCTGGCCAAACTTTAGTCCAGAGACTGCGTCGTTTGAGCACGTGATGTCAATGATATTGATGGTCAACGAGAAGGTGCGGGTAGCTCATTTATTTATCGCTTTGATTACTTTTATTGTTTACTTGGTTACTTTTGAGTGGCAAAAACATGTGAGTAAATGGAATTCAATTTCTACCTGACGTGTTTCTACTTGATTCAGCTGTGGAAGAAAAAAGTGCTGATGTAAAGTTTTTACTAATTCGCTTTACCTAAATAGTTATTAGCTAGTTCAATCCTATTGAGAGAGATTATTTTGCCGTACTCTTATGAATGTACATGTCACAGAGGATATTTAAACAAAACTTGTTCATTGAATTTGGTCTGAGTCGAATTTAGGATAACTAAATTGACCTTGAGGTGTTGATGAGGAACTGCAGAACCTTCTTGACATTCACTAAGACTGTATCCTACAGTTAAAAAATATAGGCCTTTTAGTACAGTAGATAACTGATTTTTCCATCCGCTAAATATTCATTTATTCACACACTTTCCTCCCTCCCTCATTCATTCACACATTTTTTAATTCGTATCAAAACTTTCTTGTATCTTCTCTATTTCCTTCAGAAACTCATACGAAGAGAGAATCAAAGAATACAACTATGTTAACTATTTTTGAAGAGTTTTCATATTTCTCTCTCATTCTTAATCAAGTTTATTGTTCTATAAGTTCACTTTCTTTTATTCTAGAAGAACAATCAGTAATATCATGACACAGATTAAATGGCGTAGCCATATTAGCAATAGAGCAAAAAAATACTACAACACCTTGAATATAGAAGTTTAATTTTTTAAATTTGCATAATGCAACTTCTTTAGGTAAATGGTACTTTATTAAAGAAGGGCACATTAAAAATCCTGAATTTGAACTTTTACCTAACGCCCCGAAAGTTTTGAGCTGTCCCTGATTCTGGGTGGGGAGAGTTTACAAAGGAAAATGTTATCTATGGTGCTTGGTCAAAGACTTCATTATGTTCCACGGCCTCTTTGGATGTTACAGTCACAAATACTGTATTGATGAACGTTGACAATGAATGAAGAAACTGTATTAACAACTTAGCAAAATTCATACAGAGTGTGGCAATAAGTGAAGAAACTGTATAAGTTTGAGATTGCAAGTATAATTTAACTTTTTGTTCATTTTCTCTCTTCATAAAAGAGATACTGAGTGCTGACAAAAAATAATGGAACTTTCAGTTTCGAGAGAATGTGGCTGCTTGGATATGCTTTTATGATAAGAAGGATATGTTTAAAGCATTTCTGGAGAGGGTACTTCGCCTGAAAGAGGTATTCTTTTCACTTGTAAACTTTAATTCTTCGGTAGATAAACTGCATTACTTCAATTATAGATATTTCTGTTTTCAATATCTGTTTATGTATCGTGAATTTGTAGCTGACCATCTGACTCTCTGAAACTAAATGTTCCTGTTCAAGGCAGTTACTCATCTCTAACATAGTTAACGTGAATTCAAGTTGCTCACAAATATCTTTTAGTTGTTCACGTGCATTACTCTATAGTAATATATAGATTGTGGTTACTGGTTCCGTGGTTAAAGAGAAGAATCTGCTGTGACACATTCCTTACATATGGCTGCAGGGAAGAAGTTTAACTATTGCAGAGAAGACGAATTATCTACTTTTTATGATCAATGCCTTTCAGGTACTATACTCTTTGATATGTGCCTATTCTGCACTATTTTGATGTTTTAAGATATTCTTTTGGTTTCTTTCAACAGTTTTGCCATTCCACTTGCTTTAATATATATACAGTATACACACACACACACACACACACACACATATATATATATATATAGTCTTATACATAGCCTACAAACCAAACCCAAAGGGAATGTAACCCTTGATCTAATACCACCCTCCCCACCGTAATACCACTCGGGCAACACCTTCGCAGTACCATTTACCATTAATCTTATGAAGTCGATTCTAATCTAATATTTGGACTGTGAAGTTCTATGCATGGTGTAAGTATCTTGAATCATTGTTCCCAGCATATCTTTATCATATAGCTATTCTTAGATCACGCGAACTTTTGTCCTCTTGAATTTTTTTCTATAATGTTTCTTTGATTTGGAGTATTTTTTTACCTGGTTCTGTTTCTTGGTTCCCATTTTCATTGAGTGTATGATTTCTACGCTATTAGATATGAAACACTTTCAAAAAAATAAAATAATTTTGTTCTTTCTCAAGGAAGTATTGCCATTATGTTTGTTATTTATATTTTCAACTTCCATCATGTAATCATGCTCCAAATCTTAGTCTTTATTGATTTTCAAATCTATCTTATTTTCGATGAAGACAATTGGTTCATTTCTAATGCGCTAGTTAAGATATGAGTTCGACGAACTCCGGCAATATGAAGTATCCTAAGATCATAGCAGCTTGAAATCTCCTGTACAAAAAATTATTCCTTTAAGAAATTGCATTCTGGTCTCTTTCTCATGGTTCTTAATTTTAGGTGGGGATGAAGGGGCAAAATATATTCACTTCTAAGCTTTTCACCTCCGTGAAAAACATAAAAAACCTTTTATGTAGAAAAAGGGCCATTTTTCTTTCTCTCTCCAAGATGCAGTTATCGATAGGCCTCCTGTGGTCGTTGCATATGTATCTCCTTGCATGCTGTTTTTTTTCTTTTTCTTTTTTTCTTGGGATGTTTGTGTTTCCCCTGCTTCTAAGATTAGCTTGAATTTTAATGTTTGGCTTATTCCTGTTTACTTCAATAGAGCCTGGAGGATGAAATAGTAAGTGAAATGATTATGAGATTAGCGAGTCTGGAGTGTTGGCATAGCCTATCATATGGCCGTTTCCAGGTATGCTTCAAATTTTACTGGACTAGAAGAAGTGTTTTTTCCCCTTTGTATTTAAAAGATGATCAATTCTATGCTATTTTTCAGATATCCAATTCTTATTTATTGTATATATCTTTTGCAATCTGTTTATCTTTGTTCTTTTGGGCTGTAGATGGAACTTTGTCTTAATAAAAACCTGATCAGAAGATGGAGAAGAATTGCAATGAGAGCCAAGGATGCAACTAAACGAGGGGAAACTTTCGACCCCACAACCATTGTGGAGGCCAACTTCTTGCGAAATCTCATTGAGGAGTTCCTGGTGGTATGATTCGGCAAACTTAAATCTTGATTCATTCTGTTGGCTTCTTAGGTTCTGAGCATAGAAATGTCTTTTTATCCTTTATATTTACCAGGTGCTTGATTCAGAGGTTTTTTGTAAACATGAGGACGATGATTTAGTTGATGTCCATGGTTCTGAAGATGTCAATGATTCCTGTCTTCTGTATTGTGAAAGGTTTATGGAGTTCCTTATTGATCTCTTGAGCCAACTGCCAACAAGGAGGTATGTTTATCTTTGGTTATGTGTCAATTCCCTCTTTAGGGAGAGATCAATTAAAATGAGTATGTTCTTCTAAGTTTAATACACACTACCATTTCTCCTCTTAGATGAGTGGGATGAAGCTAATCATGCTGACTTTATTCTAGTAGTAGATTTACTGTTTTAGCCTTGGCCCTGTGTTAAACCTTTCTTCAGTTGTTAAGATGGAACTTCTGAGACTTGTTCCTGGAAGTTTTAGTCCTTTGTCCGTTTTCGCGTGTTCTGTACAAATCTTAAGCATATTTCTATTGTGGCTATTTTTAGAAATACTGTAGTGCTATTTCCAGTAATTTATCTCAATTCATGTTAATACATCTCAATTCATGTTGATACATCATTAATAATTCCACCATGGAGATGTACCTTATTGATATTCTGATGTGTGGATTTCTATTGCCATTGATTGTTTGTAATCGAGTTATTCACTTTTGTCTGTGCTGGTTAAGTGCTAACTTCCTCCTAGATCTTTTTGTTGAGTAATAAGCAGAATGTTACTAATATTTTTGTGACCACCTTTGCATTTCATTTATCACACTGTTTTTTATCCTTCCTGATACTTACTATTTTAATACTACAGGTTGGTTCGGCCTCTTGTTGCTGATGTTGCTGTTATCTCCAAGTGTCATTTAAGTGCTTTGTATAGGCATGAAAAAGGGAAACTTTTCGCGCAGTTGGTTGATTTGCTTCAGTACTATGAAGGTTTTGAGATTGATGATCATAAGGGTGTACAAATGGATGATGATGATGTGCTTCGAGCTCATTATAAGCGCCTCCAGGCTTTTCAGCTTCTTGCATTTAGAAAGATTCCAAAGGTTTGTACTAGCATGATTTCATGCCATGATTATTTTATGTTAAGTAGAAAACTTTATTTAACCTTCAAGTAGGTGAAAAATATATCTTAAATTTATTTGCCCCTCTCTTTGTAGCTGCGAGAACTTGCATTGGCTAATGTGGGCTCGATCAACAAGCGTGCTGACCTGGCAAAGAAGCTTTCAGTACTTTCTCCTGAAGAGTTGAGAGATTTAGTATGTGTGAAGGTCAGTATGGTAGCCTAACGTTTTCTTGAAGCTTGCATCAGTGAAGAAAAGATTAGATAATTTTGAAATACACTATAGGCTATCATTCCAAACTAGCAAAAAAGAACGCTTGGTAGTTTCATGATTCCAGCATGTTAACTCTGATCTTCAAGCATTACAAAGTGATGGTCCGCTAATTCCCAATTGCATTATCTGTGCCAGCTAAAGCAATGCCTTCTAATTCCTAAATGTTATCTTTATACATTCCTTAGAACAAGGGTAAAAGAAGTGTGCCAATAAATGTGTTGGAGGGAGGCGTTCTAGTGTTAAATGTATCCAACCTTCAATATTGTACGGGAAGAGCATGTAGACCAGATAACATGTTGTCTGAAATCAGTCATTAAAGAGTTTGAGGTTGAAAGTCTTTATTAGTTTTCATTTTTTCCCCTTCGTGATTGTTTTAATGATTAGGAGTGTAGTAGTTAGATACAGAATATGAACGAGTTAACTGACGACAGCTCTGCCTAGCAATTACACTATATCAACTTCTCTGACTCTGTTGGCCTTTGAGAAACATACTAACAGAGCTGAAATATATGTAGTTTATGGAAAAAGGAAGAAAGTGAAACTTGTAAATTTTGTTTTTCCGAACTGTTGTATCTCCAATATGTCAATGTTTACCTGTCATTTTTCTTTTGTGATTCTGTTGAGTTGTTGCCGATGCTCCTCTTGACTTTTAAAAAAAAAAAATATTATTTCCTGAAACTGCAGCTCAAGTTGGTGTCAAAGGATGATCCATGGTCTGAAAGAGTTGACTTCCTGATAGAAGTCACAGTCTCCTTCTTTGAGAAACAACAATCTCAGAAAGAGGCGATCAATGCGCTTCCACTATATCCTAATGAGCAAATAATGTGGGATGAAAGCCTTGTACCAAGCATTAACTACTCCGGTGAAGGGTGTCTTGCACTTCCAAAGCTTAATTTGCAGTTTTTAACACTTCATGATTACCTTCTTAGAAATTTCAACCTCTTCCGCCTCGAGTCAACGTATGAAATCCGCGAGGATATTCAAGAAGCTGTTCCACATCTTCTTGCTTACGTTAATAATGAAGGAGAAACTGCTTTTCGTGGTTGGTCCAGAATGGCTGTACCGATCAAGGAATTTAGAATCACGGAAGTTAAACAACCAAATATTGGTGAAGTAAAGCCATCCGTGGTGACGGCTAAAGTTACTTTTAGCATTTCCAGCTATAAAGCACAAATAAGATCTGAATGGAATGCCCTCAAGGAGCATGATGTTCTATTTTTGTTGTCTATTCGCCCTTCATTTGAGCCACTTAGTTCAGAAGAAGCTTCAAATGCAACTGTTCCACAGAAACTTGGTCTTCAATATGTGCGTGGATGTGAGATAGTTGAAGTACGCGATGAGGACGGAACTCTTATGAATGATTTTACCGGGAGAATCAAACGCGACGAGTGGAAACCTCCCAAAGGAGACTTGAGAACTGTTACTATTGCGTTGGATACAGCACAATATCATATGGATGTTTCCGACATCGCGGAGACGGGCGCAGATGACGTGTACGGTACATTCAACATATTGATGAGGCGGAAACCTAAGGAGAATAACTTCAAAGCAATTTTGGAATCCATAAGGGATCTGATGAATGAAACATGTATTGTTCCTAAATGGTTACATGATATATTATTGGGTTATGGAGATCCTTCTGCAGCACAATGGACCAATATGCCAGATCTCATTAAAAAGGTTGATTTTAAAGACACTTTCCTCGATGCTGCTCATGTCATAGAGAGCTTCCCAAACTATAAGGTATTTTTAGTTTTTGTTCACACGTTTTTCTCTAATCAGTCGCATTATAACGGTAACTTTGTGGTTGTATTTCTTTACTATGTCCCTTTCTTCTTTGGTATCTTATGCAGGTTCGGTTTATAAATTCAGATGGAACAGACAATTCGAATCCATGTCCTCCATTCCGTATTAAATTTCCGGAGAATCTCGAAAGCATGGTCCATGCTCTGCCTGGGAATGTGATATCTACACAAACTTCAAATGACGCCAGCTCTATGCAAGATGATCATTCTGACAAAGTGGAGCTTGTAGTTGAGGCTTATGTACCTCCTGATCCAGGGCCCTATCCCCAGGATCAACCAAAGCAGAACTCTGTTAGATTTACTCCTACTCAGGTGATTGCATACTTCCATTTTAAATGATTTCCTGAAAGTTGGTTGACTGATCTTTGTTTGTAGCAGCTGCAGTAGTTATTTTGCCTTGTAGTTTTAAGTTCTGAAATCTTCTGTTAGTATTAAATGATGTCTTCCATTAGAAATTGAGTAGCTTTCTTGATAAACTTTTGTCATCTTCATATTGGTTGAGTATTAAAATGTGTACATCTAAGTATTCTGTTTCCCAAGAGTGTTATATTATTACCTCAGAGATCTTCCCCTTCATCCCTTTTTCCATTTGCATGCTTGGTTTTTAATGTCAGGGTTCGAGTCAAATCATAAACAATTACAACTTCTTTTTGATAAGAATAAACAATTACAACTTGTGTAATGATGCTGTGGCTATGACATATATTGAACACCTTCCAACATAGACAACAATATGAGAAATAATGTATATGATTGGCGAAATTAAGTGTTCCTCTCATTTGATCGTACCACATATTATACTGCTGTTGGGCTGGACTCTGCAAAAAATTGTAAAGAAACATGTACTCCTGCCTAATTTTTCGATAATAGTAAATGAATGGCGCTTCCTATCAATGTCTGTGTATATTCATGATAGGGATGGTTTTCATGCTGAAAAGGTTGATGATAGATATATGCCATGTGTATCTGTTTATTGATAGATGTGCTAGATTTTTGCTGGGACTATCCTACCCTGTTTTGCATGCCTTTAGGGTCATCCTGGTTTGTCTCGTAGATTCATTCTCGATTTTTGGGTTAGTAAAAATATAACTTAAGTGAGAAATTTTGTTGTCAGTATGCTCTATTAAAATGCAAAAAAATTGGAAGTCACAATTAGATGGGTTAAGCGTAATGATTATTTCATTCAATGGTTGAAAAGAGCATATGACAATTGTTATTGTGTTTATTGTAAGTATAATTAAACATGCTACTGTTCTTAATGTTATCCTGCATTACAACAATAATGTAAAGTTTGCATACAATTTTCATGTTTAAGCGTAATGATTATTTCATTCAATTGTTGAAAAGAGCATATGACAATTATTATTGTGTTTATTGCAAGTATAATTAAACATGCTACTGTTCTTAATGTTATTATCCTGCATTCTCCACATATTTTTTTTATATGAATTTTTCTATGAACAGACTTGTGTTCTCATAAATGTGCACACTTATCATGATATCCCCTAGAAAAGGCCGTGCTGCACATGCTGTGCTTTCTCTTAACCTATGAAATTTTTCTGTATAAAGTTGCAGTTTGCTGACTGAGCTGCTTCATTCTTTGCTATCTTGCAGGTCGGAGTTATCCTGTCCGGAGTTCAGCCTGGCTTAACCATGGTGGTTGGTCCACCTGGTACTGGAAAGACGGATACAGCTGTCCAAATCTTGAATGTTCTCTACCATAATTGTCCTTCTCAGAGAACTTTGATAATCACTCATTCAAATCAGGCTCTAAACGATCTTTTCGAAAAGATAATGGAGGTAAGAGAGTGTGCGATGAACTTCATTAGCAATTATTGACTCCAATAACACAAACTCATTGATAACTTTTGAGATTTTCTGAATTGCATTTTAACTTCATATTATCTTTGTGACTTAAGAGGGACGTGCCAGCTCGATATCTACTTCGACTCGGTCAAGGTGAACAAGAGTTGGCCACTGAACTTGATTTCAGCCGCCAAGGCCGTGTAAATGCCATGCTTGTTCGACGATTGGAACTCCTTAGTGAAGTGGAGCGGCTCGCAAGATCTCTACAACTGCCCGAGGATGTAGGTTATACTTGTGAAACCGCTGGCTACTTCTGGTTGCTCCATGTTTACTCACGCTGGGAGCTTTTTCTAGCTGCTTGTGCTCAGAATCAAGACAAACCGACGTTTATTCAGGACCGCTTCCCTTTTAAGGAGTTCTTTTCCAATACCGCGAAGCCGATTTTCGCAGCCGAGTCCTTTGAAAAAGACATGCACACAGCTAAGGGTTGCTTCCGGCACCTTCAAACTATGTTTCAGGAGCTTGAAGAGTGTAGGGCATTTGAGCTGCTTAAGTCAACAGTCGATAGATCAAATTATCTTATGACCAAGCAAGCAAAAATAGTAGCCATGACTTGCACCCATGCAGCTCTTAAACGGAAAGATTTTCTACACTTGGGCTTTAAATACGACAACTTGTTAATGGAAGAAAGTGCCCAGATTTTGGAGATTGAAACTTTCATCCCTATGTTGCTCCAAAGGCAGGAAGATGATCGTGCTCGCCTAAAACGATGTATATTGATTGGTGACCACCACCAATTGCCTCCCGTTGTGAAAAATATGGCTTTTCAGAAGTACAGCCATATGGACCAGAGTCTGTTCACAAGGTTTGTGCGTCTAGGAATTCCCTATATTGAGCTCAATGCCCAAGGAAGAGCTAGGCCTAGTTTAGCAAGACTTTACAATTGGAGATATAAAGACCTAGGTGATCTCTCATACGTGAAGGAGAATGAAATTTTCCAAAGAGCAAACTCTGGATTCTCTTACGACTATCAGTTGGTGGATGTTCCTGATTTTCATGGGAGAGGTGAGAGTGCTCCTTCACCCTGGTTCTACCAAAACGAAGGAGAGGCTGAGTATATTGTTAGCGTCTATATGTACATGCGTTTGTTGGGATATCCAGCCAGCAAAATATCCATACTGACAACATACAATGGTCAGAAACTTTTGATTCGTGATGTTATTAATCGACGGTGTGTCCCTTATGACTTCATTGGTCCACCACACAAGGTAACTTTCTCGTAGTTTTGTTCTTGTCATTTTTTTTCCCATGTTCATTGCTTACATTCATTTTTCCAATTATATAGGTAGCCACAGTTGACAAGTTTCAAGGGCAACAAAATGACTTCATCTTGTTATCCCTCGTTCGTTCTCGCTTTGTGGGTCACCTTCGTGACGTAAGAAGATTGGTTGTCGCAATGTCTCGAGCTCGATTGGGGCTTTATGTTTTCTGTCGGCGTTCTCTGTTCGAACAGTGCTATGAACTACAGCCTACGTTTCAGCTTCTTCTTCAGAGGCCCGATCACCTTTCTCTCAATCTGAACGAATTCACAACAATTACCGATCGTCATGTCGAAGACACAGGACCGGTCCAGCTTGTTAGTGGAATCGAAGAGATGGCTAACATAGTTAATTACAAGATGCACCAGGTTTACCAGGTATTTCTCATCGGTAATTGCACCCCTTAAGTTGGAACTTTTCGTAATTTTTATTTATATGGTTTCCATTGACTTAATATTCTCCTTTTCGCCAGTTGCTACTTATAAGTCTTGATGTCCAATTATAGAAGAAATTTCAAAATCGAGAAATTATTAATTTTTTTTTTTTTTTCAAATTCCACCAGGCACGGGTAACGAGCTATCAGTCAAATCAATATTCAGCATATCCAGGGCAGTCCGCTATGGAGATTGATGCTTCTGAGGAAAACGGAACAGAAAACGTAGAGCCCTCTGTCGGAGAGATGGATCTCGATAACGGTACAGAGAAGGATACATCACTACTACCTGATGCTACCTCGAATGGTTCAGCACATTTAGATGCTTCCGTAGAAGAGAATGGTGATGCGTAGTTTCTAAACGGTATTAATCATTATTAGAAACTTGTATTGTACCGGCATTTAATGGTAAAACGAGCAGGTACTTAAACTACTAATTATTTTACTCACTGAATTTTGAAGGCGGTTGAGGACATTTTAATTGTGCTTTTTTGTTGTATAGTTAAAGCCATTTCGTATAAGGTTGGCTTCATGTAGATTTTCACAAAATTTTATTTGCTGGATTATATTTTAATTTCTGATTTTGATCATTTATCGTGTTCTCTTGATTTCACTTCTTTCTCTTCCTCTTTATCTATCTTCGAATCATTCTTCCCCGTCATTAGAGACATTCCTTTACAAACTTAGGTCAGCCAGGTTTTTCTTTGGTAATTATAAATACTCGAGGAGTTGGTTTTTTTTTTCTTCGTTTTTTTGAGTTATTGTGGTGGATTTTGACGAGACGTCTTAATTGGGAATTAAACGACGATCATTAGATTGAAATTTGAATTTGACACATAAAGGTTGAAGATAAAATTTTGCTGCATAATGAGTCATATTGCTCTTCTGAATTTCCACTATAGAAAGTGGCACCATTATTGTTGTATTGAACAGCTTTATTTTGTCTTCAATGTACAGAGTTATTCCAATATCATCTATAAAACGACACCGTTGAGAATCTTGTCGATTTTGCATAGGGAGGATTCGGGAATAATCAAATTGAGTCGAATGCGTATTTTTTCAACTTGTTTGTGTTTGAGCTTGATTTTATAAACAAATCCAATCAAATTCGAACGAGCTTCAATCAAGAACACTAATCGAGCTCGAGCAACTTGATTTATTATACATACTTTTATCATTTTTTTCTTCCGATCGAGTTCGAGCTCGAGCCAAGTCTCGTAACTCACCTAACAAAAATATATTTGATCAAATTTAATTTGTTACATTACCAAACCGATCTCAAACATGCTTTCCAAAAAAAATCTCAAATTGAATATCGAGTAACTTGATTTAAATTTCACAACTTCCACTACATAAAAAACAATACTATAGACAATATGACAACATCTAGTCATCATCTCTCATCTCCCCCTTCACACAAACAAGGCAACATGAACCATGATGACAAAATTAAAAAAAAAAAAAAAAAGTAAAAAAAAAAAAAAAGAAAAAAAAGAAAGAAAAATAATTTCTTTGAATTTAGAAAAGTATTCAAAAATAAGTAGACTGATATTGCAAAAGATCAAGTTGTGCTAACAACTTAGCCACACCAGAAGCCAACAAAGGATCACCATTCTGTGCAATATCAATAAGCACCATTTGTGCAGATTCACCATACTCTTCTCTAAGAGCCTCAACTCTAAACACCCTCTCCAAAATCCATATACACTTCTCTTTCGCCTTAAAACTCCCCGATTCAAGAACCCTAATAACCGAACACACGCTCGATTTTTTCGCAAGATAGTTCGACCCGCTCTCCCATATCTCGTCTTGCAATAGTGTCGAAAGGCAACTCAAAACCGCCTCGTCGGCACCTCTCTCCTCGCCTTCAAGAATTTCTACCAATGGCGTAACGGCTCCACTTTTCACCAAGCAAAAAGTACTCTTCGCAGAGCAATAACCGTCGTGCACTTCGCAAAAGGAGTCCACCGAAGGGGCCCCACAGAACCACTTCAATTTCCGGGACTTGCTCAAATGCAGCGTATTCTGCGATAGTTGTGCTAAACTCAATGCAGCTTTGCTTCTAGAAGCTTCCGAACCAGTCGAGAGCATCTTTATGAGGATCGGAATAACCCCGTTTTCGGCCGAATAACGCTGCAACCGTTTGTCGGTTGAAACGGTGAAACGGAGTAAAACACCGGAAATGCTCTCGACTAATTTAGGTGTCGAGTTTTGTGGGGTTAAAGAACTCATTATAGAAACCACTAACGGAAGCAAGTTTTCGTTCTTGAGTATTTCGGTAGTTTTTCTGTCACTTAGGGGCAAATTGGACAATATTCCGAGGGCTGCAGCCCTTTCGCAGTCCGATGATGACACTACGATGTTTGCAATAACACGAATTTGCGAGTAATCGAGCTCTTCTATGAGCTCTCCTTGTATATCTTCAGACAACATGTGAACCAATCTAAGTGCACCTGTCCTAATTCTTGCATCTTTTTCGTTAAAAAACGGTACGACGAGTTGGATCGCTCCGTTTTCCTTCATTTTCTTCCTAATTTTCGAAGCACTAGAGTGAGAGACAATGTTGTTTAGTGCTTCCAAGAGATGGTTTTGAATAACGGGGCTCGATAGGTTTAGTAGGGAGAGCATCTGTTGGACGACTTCGTGTTTGACCAAAATGCCCTCGGATTTCGCCACCTTTGCGAGAATAGCTGAAGCGGGCTCTCTAAGTGTCATTAGAACTGATGTCACCGAGAATAGGAGCTGCATTAGGGCTACGACAATACCCGAGTGGATCAAGCGTTGGATGTTCTTTTCTGAGTTCGATAAGCTCTCGAGGGCGTTTAGGGAAGATAATTTCGCCTCGAGATTGCCCGTTTTGAACATTTCGATTAGGGGGGCGATCGCCCCCTCTTTTCCGAGCGAAGCCTTGTTTTGGTCGGTGAGCTCCAATCTTGATATTGCAGTTGCCATTATAACCTTACTCATTTCCGAACCTGCTCGACAAACACGAGATTTGAGCACTATCAATCTTGTGTAGGGGTGTAAATCGGACATATCATATCGGAATTAGCCTTTCGAAAAAATCTATTCTTTTTTGGGAGTGGAAACTAATTCCAATTTCGTAAAAAAAATGGAAAATATCGGATATTTTCGGATCGAAATCAACGGAATCAGAAATCCAATCGGTGACCTAAAATACAACAAATACAGAATAATATTGGTGTTATAAGTGTAATTTTTGAGAAAAAAATCAAAATTTCCGAAAACTAAAATTGGAACATAATACGTATTCCAATTATGTTAAAAAAAATCGGAAAATTTGGAAATCAAAATTTTCAAAATGAAATATATTGTTCCAAAATCGGAAATATCCGGATCCGAATCAACAGAATCCGGAATTCCCATTGCAATTTCCACTCCTAAAAGGCTTGAGAAAAACACGTAAAAAAACGGATTTTATTTCTCCGATTCTTACCTTCGATTAGGTATTTGATCATGGGCTTGAAATAACCAGCTTCAGCCATGTGAAGAGCATGCTGAGTATTGCCCGACATATAACTCAACAGCATTCTTGCATTACACGAAGCTTCATCGTCGTCTTCTCGATTATTATCGTCGCTTCCATTATTTGAAATTGAAACCAACATCACAATACACCCTCTTATTCTCCCGATTCGTCTCCGAACTTCAAAATCACTACAAAGATTCAACAAAAGCCCCACCGCCTCTCTCCGCTCATCCACGTCACGCGCCAACGACTTCACCAACGCCGATAAAAACTCCGAACCCTTCATTTTTTCCTGCACACTTCGAATAAACGTAACTCATTTAAACGAATAAAAAAAATCATTTCAAAATCATGTTAAGTAGTACATCAGTAGAACATCGATAAATTAATACTCGATAAATTAATAACCTCGCTTAAATAATAAATCCTTCTGGTCCCAACTAGGTGAGAACGTGCTAAATTATTAGCTCGATAATTTAATATACAGAATTTCCATAGTCCCCGACTGTAGTAATTTATAGAGGTTTAACTGTACCTTGTGCATATCATTTTGTCGAGTGAGGTGTCGTAGTATTCGAATTATAACCACCCTTTCGGCCCCTTTACACGAACTCAACCGACTCGATAAAATCTTGACAACATCTTCGTCGACGATTTTCTCATCGGAAATCACTCCATCCATAATGAATCCACTCAATACCAAAAGGGCTTTTTTAAATATATCTTCATTACTATTATTTATATTTATATTTAAAATAGCATCGTCGAAAGTCGATATTCTCGTCTCCACTTCAACTTCCACAATCTCTTCTTCCTCTGTTTCATACTCTGTTTCATCCTCTGTTTCTTGATCGGAGCTAAAGTCGAACCTCACATTCATCATCTCCTTACATAAAGCCTCGATTTTGCGCTTGTTCGATATCGGCAAATCGTGACCGGCGAATAGGACGAGCCCCAACGATCTTCCGAGATTCTGGGAGAGATGCTCGATGTGTTTGGCGGGTGAGGATTGGATTATTTGGCTCTCCACCGCTGCTTTCGCACGTGCGTAGTCGGTTTCTAACGAGCCGATGGCTTTTTCGAGGGCCGGTAGTTCGGTTATTTCGATGCTTTCCTTCATTTCGGTTAGAATCGGGTTGATTCTGTCGATGAAGATTGAGAATTCTGCGATGGGCTCTGTGAAGATTGAGGATGATGATCTTGAGTTCATGGTTGAGGAATCGAATTCCTCCATTTTTTTTGCTTTTCTTTTGATGTTGATCAAGAATCTTGGAAACTTTACAAGAAAGAACAAAAACAGATATATTAATAAGACTATACAAGAAAGAAAGATAACTAACTAATGTTGAGCAAGACTTATATTAGACTTGATGAGAGAGAGAGAGAGAGAGAGAGAGAGAGAGAGAGAGAGAGAGAGACTTGATGAGAGAGAGAGAGAGATGGAAAATTGTGGTTTGTAAGGATGTGAGGAGAGAGGTATCTTTGATGTCACATTCAGTTCAAATGAGTGAAAGTGATGAATTGTTGTTTGTGTTGGAAGACTAATACAACTAGTTGTACAAGGGAACATATAATATTGGAGAAGACGAAGTCAATGAGTCAACTCATATATAAATATATTGTATGGTGATGAAGTTTATGATAATAATAATAATAGCAAACAATGGGGACACCTTTTTTGAACCTTTCTTTCCTTTGGTCAAACATCTTTGTCTTCTTTTCATTGTTTTTTCCATGCAAGATATTTCCCTATTCTTTCTCCTAATAATAATAATAATAATAATAATAATAATAATAATAATAATAATAATAAGGGGTCTTAAGATATAAGTCCCTGGTGACAAACCGTATTAGAACTAAATGACAAGTCTAATTAAAATTTGCTTCACATCATTTATTAAATTTATTCCAAAAATGCCCCTCTACTCACAAATTCAACATTACAACAGATTATAAATATACTATGATGAACTATGGTATTATTTAACATTTTTAAATTTGCATCTATCATTTTTTTTTAATTTTTCGTAGAACACGTTTTTTTTTTTCTTTCTCTTTCATATTTTTCATTATATAAAAATCTATTTTTCCTCTTTTCTACATAAAATTAAAAATTATGGCTACTTTTTTCTTTTTTATTTTCATTTTTCGTATTTTTCCATTATATAAAATCTATTTTTTCCCCTTATTTTCAAAATAAATTGAAAATTATGATTTTTTAATTTTTTTTTTGCTGTAGACATCTAAAGAATTCTGTAGAAACCTTTAGTAATCCGTAGTAACCCATAGACATCTTGAAACCCTAACTCCTTTCAACCCTAGCCGTCAAACACCATAGACACCCATAGACACCCATAGACATCTGTAGACAACTAAATCGAAAAATATTATTTTTTTCCCAACAAACCCTAAATCCGATCCACCGCCACCACCACGCCACTACTCCCCCTCTCCACCCCCCACACCCAGACCCACCTTCACGATTCATCCATGTGGGTTGCAAGCAAACAACGAGCCTGCCATCACATAGCCTCCCGATGCAATCCCTATGCCGAGCGTCGCCATAGCCATCGTCGTCGCCTACCATAACCGCCGCCATCATACCGCTGCCATCTGCCATAACCACCATCAATTGAAAAGAAAAAAAAGGAGGAAGGGAGGGGGGGACGTGTGTGAGAGAGAAGAGGAGAAGAGATCAGAAGAGAGAGAGAGAGAGAGAGAGAGAGAGAGAGAGAGAGAACCAGAACGTGATATGTTGAGCGGTTGAGCGGCGTGAGAAAGAGAGGGGAAGAGAGAGAAATAAATAAGAAAAAGAAGAGACACCGTGACTTTTATTAGGTATTGTAAGGGTATTTTTGGGTTAAATAAAAATCAAAGGATGTGTATCAATTTTTATTTTAAAATAGGGATGTAGTTAAAATATTTTATTTGAGTTTGTCACTCATATCTAATTAAGTTTGGTTTGAGGGGTGTGAGGCATATTACCCCTAATAATAAAGAGTCTAGAAAATCATTTAATTTTAGGATCAAAATGTAGATATTAAAGGTCTTGTTCGGTTGCCAATATTAAATTCGATTAATTAAATAATATCTGATTATTAGTATTATGCTTGTTTTTCTACTAACAAGATTCAAAGTGACACAAGCCCCTGATTTAAAATAATAATAATAATAATAATAATAATTATATCCTTCAAAACATTATAAATATTAACTGTTCAATGCTTTTGTTACAAACCTGCAGGCTTCCTTGACAAGTTACACATAAATTGAATCAAAAATTTATTTTATTTCTCTCCCTTCATTTTGGGTGAAATTACGCAAACACCCTTCGATCCGACAGTTAATCATCTGAAGACCATTTTTTTTGTTATAAGAATATCCTCATTTTCTTGTTAATACTTATTGATTTGACTTCTTGTGCAATTGTTTAATTTGAATATCGATCACAATTGCAAAATTTGAAGATTGTATGTCTATTTGAAAGCTTTACGATACAAATCAGTATAACAAAAGTTCGTATGTGAAAGTTATGATAAAAACTTCCATGTTACTTCATATCACGCCATTTTACAGACTTAGTCCTATACTAGTTTCTTCACTGATATTAATACAAAAAAATTAAATATAAATTGTGCCCATGATTCAAATCTAATATCATAAATTGAAAAATGTAAATGTTGCAAAAAAAAACAAGCTTTCCGATTTAACTGGAATAAGTGTAATCAGAGTTCTTAGCATAGATTTATGATTAAAATAAGATTAAAATTCACGAGCTTTCTGATATAGATAAGTGTAATCTGATTTAAAATTTAAGTAAATTATATTGTATACTAGAAGAGATTAATTTAATTTTTAACCTTATTAATGTCAATAAATGTTGTTCGTCAGTGATTGCATTCTAAAATATATCATTCATCCGATTCGAATTTACATTTGTTCTTGAGTTTGATAAGAGCAAAATGGAGTTCCAAATTCACCCGAAAAGCCCACAACTCCACGATCATGTCTTCTTTTAGTTTATATTCCTCGACGAGCCGACCCCATTTCCCATTCATCACATACTTTTCGCCGTTCCATTTTGACAACTTTATCTCATGAACCCTAATTTCACCCTCGTAATAACAATCCTGGTCAAATACCAATATTTTGACCATAATCGATTCTTTATGCTTCGAAGTTCCCTCGTTCGGCCGATCCTGAAGCTTCATCTTCTCCTCTTTGTTGAGGAACTCGTTCTCAACTCCCTTGGCTATTAGTAGACGATTTTGACTTTTGTCGATATCGGTAGCTTTCAATTTTTTTTCAAATACGAACTTCAAATTGTTACCATTCATCTTCTCCATAATCTTCCTCATCAAATTAGCATTCGCCGCTCTCCCTGCACGAATATTTTGAGCCGTTGGATCTTTCGGACTATCGTGAAGAGAATCACGATGAATATTATCCGTTTCGCTTGGACGAGCAATTTCTTTTCCTTTATTCTTTTTTTGTTCGATTTCTTTTTGTTGTGCAGCGGCCAGGATATCAATCATCCATGGATCGAGCTTTCGGCTTTCTGGGGTATCTTCGAAATCCAATACTTTGAGAATATTGGCTATATTCTTTCTCCCGTTTCTCTCTCTAGATTCGGAATCAGCCATCTCTTATTCTTGGATTAATTCCTAATTCTGAAACCGATTGAAGAAAGTAGCTATTAATTAGTACTTATATAATTATAATAGGTATTAGGAAATAATACTTGATCGAACCAAGAAAGAGAAATTAAACCCTGTAATGAGATTGCAATAATCTAGAGTTCACTGTGGATGGGAATCAATCACAAAATAGAAAAAAAAAATCATTAACACTTAATAAAAACGAAAAGGTTATGGGGTTCGTGGGTAGCGCCCCCGGTTCTCTTAATAGTATATACGTATAACAATACATATATGTATAAAAATAATATTATAAAGATTATTGGGAAAGGTTTAGAAGAAAAAAAAAAACCCAATCTTAGGTTGATTATGATACAAAAGAACCAAAATATAGTAAAAATATTATACATACCTGAACGTTCTGGTAGAAATTATTTTTTTTGCAACTTGAGATGATAACAATCATATAAGTTATGGACGTTAATTTATAACTATATAAATATGCATGTATATATATACGCACACACACAAAATATTATCCTACTACAACTAGATTTCCTAAGCCCTAGTTCTTTAGGTTTCTTTTTTTCTTTTCGATTAATATATGGATTAATAGTTAATACAAAAGTCTATCTTTATCTGTTGAATTCTAATTGTATAAGTTTTTCTCTTCTTTCGATTTTATATATATATATATATATATATATATATATATATATATATATATATATATATATATATGAACCCAGCGGGAAGAAGTGTTGTTCCCGATACATAAAACGGGTAGTGAATTTAGTAAATTGGTTGAACAAATTAATTAGTGAAAATACGGAAAGATTAGCCGAGGCGAGTTGACTCTGTCCTTAAGACGAAATTTCCCCGCAACGGTGCTAACGGATTAAATGGAAATCGTCTCCCAAGATACAACGGCTAAACTTGGAATAGGAGCACTCCAAATCCCAAGTACGACGAACTGTACTTTGTGTAGAACTTTTCGAGAGAATCTGTGAAGGGTAGGCTTAATATGTAGTAGGCTTGTTTTTGGATTGAAGTGTGGAATTTTGGGAAAGTTATGGTCTATTTATAAGGTTCGAAAAGTAGTGTCCTTTGGAGCAAAAATGTACCTTTTGTTTGAATGGTTGCACCATTTCAAGTTGAGCCAATTGGGAGTGGTTGCACCATTTCGAGTTGAGCCGAATGGTTTGCATTGGTTCGGCCGCACCAATTCAGACCAGTCAGACCAATCGAGATGGGCTTCGAGTAATAAGGGCCCAATGGGTTAAAAGCCCATGATCTAATGTTTTTGGCCCGTCCCAATAATTTGATATATATACAGCTCAGTACTTCTCTACTTTTCCAATGTGGGATAACTCAAAATCCCACTTTCCTTATATTTTGGACTAGTAATTTTTTCATTCACCACAAAATTGGTTCTAATCCAAAATTCATTTATATACTCAATTAGACCGTACAATAACATTGATAAAAAATTGTTCATGACTCAATTTTTAACCAATTTTCCCAACAATCCCCCACATGAATGAAAACGAGGGCGTCGATTCTCTCTAGAGTTCCCGCGAATAGTATTGCATCGGGATAGGTAGCATATAGCTTTGAACCTTCCGTAGTGGAGTTACATCGGATTTACTAAGCTGAGTAGTGAACGCGATGTCTTGAACTGTCAGCCGTTCGTGTAAACCAAGACAATGCAACCCACACAATACTATTCTCACATTTCCTTAGTTCTCATGATTGTGTCCGTTTTGGCCATGGACACACATCTTGGATTCATAAGTGTTTGTCAAGTTTTTGAAGCGGCCCTCACTTCATACACTTACATAGGTGATCTCCTATTAAATGTATCCTGCCAATACCTCACCTTTTGTTATAAGGTTTAGGAATCATTAAAAGCTTCCGCTTATCCTTTACCCTCTCTGCAGGCAGCACTAATGTCTATCACGGGAATGAGTTGGAAATATATTATTCCATAGGAATATATATTCCTTAGTGCATCACTGAACTTTCTTAGCTTAGTTGTCCCTTTTGAACCAGTTCTTGGGATCTCCAGTCAGCATGGTTGGGTTACCACCAAGATTGTCCTTAATTTATGGGTTTTAATCTCACTCCCCTAGACAGGCAATATGTTTGATCTCTTTAGTTGACTTTTAGTCGCGGATCCGCTATTAACCATTGATTTTCATAATCAATGTTATATTATTTCTTTTGAGATCAATTGCCTAATGGTCTTATGTGTACGAGTGTATCGATACTTGCCATTATACATGTCGTTTGTGCCCTTAACGTAACCGATTGGTTATCACAATTTATTCATAATTGTAGACACCGACTTAGTCCAACACGGAACATCCTCCAATAATTTTATGAAGTTTATTCAACTTCTTTTCTAACCTTATCTCAAGTTATACATTCGAATTCGACCATGAATCGAGCTATTCAATTTTGTTTGAGGATTTCCAAGATACATAATCTTAGTGGACTCATACATCCAATGTTCTTTCCTAATATAATTGGATATTTTCTTTAATGTAATCCATTTAAAAACGATACTTAGATTACATAAGAACCCTTATAATATCATTCAATGATTATTTATTTTGGAATTACATATTTACTAGTTTGCAATTCATTATGCTGCCAAACTATCCAAAAGTATTTGTAATTGAACCATTGTTCATCATTATTTTTTGGCGAGGTAAACCCTTGGTCTTTAGATAACTAGATCAATTTTCTAGTAGTGTCTCAACATGAGACTTTCAATAAGACTATCTTTGTCTTAGTGATTTTAAAATGTAAGATTACATCGTCTAGACCCTCGTCTTTTGACATTAAAAATTTTATTTTTACTTTTCCAATATTTTCTCAACGTTCAAAATAGTGTCATGATCACTATCTCATGATTATAATGTCGTCTATAGACATATACTTCCATGTGCTTTTAATATAAACACACTGGCCACACTCGTTATTACGAGAATTACTAACACAATTTTATCAAATATTACTTTAGAATATTTCCATAGCTATTTAATTTAGCTTGATATTACAATGTTATAAATAATCAAGATTTTGCCATAGCTATTTAATTTAGCTTTATTGGACCACCCTTAATCATTCCTTTGAATAGTCCATCAAAACCTTAATGGTTTACTACTTGGAAGAAGACAAACTAACTTCCACGTACATTCTTCCAATGTAGACAATATTTCAATAATTGTCCTTTGTTCATTTTATAACTCATAAATTATAAAATCAAATCAAAATCAAACATATTGATTTTCTTTGTCATCTTGTTGTATCTTGGTTGTTCATCACTTTGATGATTTACCAATCACACATATTTTAACTTGGTTATTCATCACTTTGATGATTTACCACTTAGACATTTATTAGTTCTCTTATTTAGAACTTATTTATTTTCTTATTTTACAAGAAACCACAATATAATCAATTTGCATCAAGAGTGACTATCTCGTGCACAATCATTAGATATATTCAATATTTATCCACTTGACTATACTAGGCCCTGTATTAACTTAGGTACTTTTTTACCTTGGCCTAAACACCCCCACATTTCTAAATATTAATGTGGTTACTGGTTAGGGCCTAAAGACCCTCACATTTCTAAATATTTATGTGGTTAGCTCGGAATATTTAATTTATGTGGTTAGGGCCTAAAGATCCCCACATTTCTAAATATTAACGCGGTAGCTCGGGATATCTAATTTTCCCCACAAATTCTAGAGTATGTATTCTAGAATTTATCAATATAATATCCATAAACTTTTTCCAAAAGTTTTGGTTCTCATTTTTCATTCATTTGTCAAAGTTGGCACTTTCCAACTTTCATTCACATAACATTTAAATGCTTTGAAATCCTTATTTTTATTTTATTAATAAGGATACAATGTAACAAAATACATTTCTTCTTTAGTTAGAAAAATATTTTGGATCACCAATATGATTTAATTACAAAGTATTATTTTTCTTTCTCTCAAGAAAGCACAACAAGAAAAATCTTCTCAAGATACTTAAATCTTGTCAACAATTAAGATAATAAGATTTCTTCTTTTTCCTCAAAAGAGAAAACTCGTCAAGATACTTAAATCTTGTCAATAAACAAGAGAATATTAATTTCTTCAAATGGTGGTTGATCTCCACTATTCAACATTAAATTTAGAATATATAAATTCTAATTTTAATCATTCATAATTTAGGATTGTATGTCCTAAACATGCCGTTCAAAATTCAGCCAAATCCAACGATTTAATTCTACAAAACGAGCTCTTAAGTAAACTGCTCGAATTTTATTTCAACAAAGCATTCATTGTTGTTTACAATTATTTCGGATGTTTGAAAATCAAAATCCGATCCCATCCATTCACATTGTAAATCATCACCTCGTAAATGTGATATCAAAAAAATCAAATCGAACCAACAATTCGATCTTCTCTTATGTTCTTGAGACAAGAACTACTCATGTGCTCTCATGAATTGAGCTTCTCTTTCTTTCTATTTTATTTCAAATCATTCTTTTAATTAAACCGTAGTATGATTCATATATAAAACATATGTACATCAATATTATAATAAACATAATATTTGACATGTATGTGAGCACGTCTTTCATACTAGTTGATCATAGAAAGAAACAATATATCAAGCATATTATATCAACATATACATAGTATACACACTAGTATATAATAGCATCAAATTTGAAAATAATATTTCATGGCATAAATAAATTCATGTCCAACATAATGAATTGATAAAAATTTTATAGCACGTAATCAATGCATGTTAATGCAATAACACAATTCTAAGGAATTAGTATGGCTTACGCAAATAATAATATGTATAATAATATTCCTCTTAGTAAGTAATTCATACTTAATATACGAGACAAGTCTAATCGATCATGACAATAATAAAAACGTTAATAAGATCACGTACTCACATATTCGAAAATCAATCAACCAGACAGTTCCACATCAAATTGGGAGAAAGTTAATCCCATATCAAACTATAAGCAATTTATGCATATACATATTGCATTTTCATGAGAAATGTCATTAGTATAGCACTTATCATGCGGGTTTATGATAAACTTATTCAAATAATAAGCACATACGCTATCACTTTATTTTATTTAGGATAAAAATATTTCTATTATTAATGTACATACACAAACATCATGAATATTCATTAAGCATATATATTGTACATGGTTTACCATGCTTCCACATAGAAAATTAAACTATCATGCAATAATCCACCATTATATCATATAGCATTATCAATATATTTCACAAATAGATATCTTATACTTAAAAAACGTACCCGATAAATTATATGTTCGTCAATTCAAGATTTTGTGGGTAGCACCAAATCGTGTCAATATTATGGCAGTGCTGAATGATTTATTCATATCTCTTCCGTCCCAAGTCCGATTTTGTTGATTCAATATGATCCAAACAGCCAACAAAATTATCTACAACTTTTATGTTTTACGTTTTCTGAGATTCGGATTGGATCATGATCAAAATAAGCCACGAAGTCGGAATAGGTGTGCTGTAAATTTGCACCTACAATGGAACCAGAAAAAAAAATATTAAATAATATTCATGAATAAAAAATAATATAAAACCTCATTATTGATCTTCGATTCATTCTTCTTTCATCAAAATTTCGTGCATTGGACATTGGTGATGCGTTAATATGCGACGAGTTGCATTGGTCACGAACGGTTGTAATTTCTTATGAAAAGGTGCATTGGCAGTTCTGCCACCCTTTCGTGTTTTCATCATAACTTCCTCGTACGATCTCCGATTGTGACGATTTAACATGTTCTGGAAAGCTAACTTGATTATCTACAACTTTTGTGAAATGTTAATTTGCCATATTCGGACTTTAACACCTTCGAAAATGGGAAAGAATGTGGACTTCATGTTCTGTCCGAAAATGAACTTTCTCCAATTGTATTTTGTAACTTCTTGATTTTTGGCAGACTATCTTCTTCTCCATCTCGTTTACCAACGTGTGCAGAAAACACAATTTACTAAATCACAAAGTTTTCGTCTTAAGATTGTTGTTCCCGATACATAAAACGGGTAGTGAATTTAGTAAATTGGTTGAACAAATTAATTAGTGAAAATACGGAAAGATTAGCCGAGGCGAGTTGACTCTGTCCTTAAGACGAAATTTCCCCGCAACGGTGCTAACGGATTAAATGGAAATCGTCTCCCAAGATACAACGGCTAAACTTGGAATAGGAGCACTCCAAATCCCAAGTACGACGAACTGTACTTTGTGTAGAACTTTTCGAGAGAATCTGTGAAGGGTAGGCTTAATATGTAGTAGGCTTGTTTTTGGATTGAAGTGTGGAATTTTGGGAAAGTTATGGTCTATTTATAAGGTTCGAAAAGTAGTGTCCTTTGGAGCAAAAATGTACCTTTTGTTTGAATGGTTGCACCATTTCAAGTTGAGCCAATTGGGAGTGGTTGCACCATTTCGAGTTGAGCCGAATGGTTTGCATTGGTTCGGCCGCACCAATTCAGACCAGTCAGACCAATCGAGATGGGCTTCGAGTAATAAGGGCCCAATGGGTTAAAAGCCCATGATCTAATGTTTTTGGCCCGTCCCAATAATTTGATATATATACAGCTCAGTACTTCTCTACTTTTCCAATGTGGGATAACTCAAAATCCCACTTTCCTTATATTTTGGACTAGTAATTTTTTCATTCACCACAAAATTGGTTCTAATCCAAAATTCATTTATATACTCAATTAGACCGTACAATAACATTGATAAAAAATTGTTCATGACTCAATTTTTAACCAATTTTCCCAACAAGAAGTAACTTTCAATTTTCAAACGTGGTGTGAGAAGTTTGCGTCTTTTGTTGGTATATTTAGCTTGACCAACGAGGGCAAAACCGTAATTTCTTCTGTTACAGGCTCGGGGAATACTGGATGACCCGCGACGAAGTGGACCGATTTGGCTCTACGCCGATAGCTTCGCGAAACAGGCGTCCGCGGCGTCGGGTGGCCGCGTGGTCCCCATAGTAGTGGGGATAGACGTATGCACGGTGCAGCAAGAGGGGAAGACGGTCGGCACGGCACGGGCGAGGGCGATTAGGTCAAAGCACTTGATCCCGGTGCATTTGTGGCAGCTTCGACACGTGAGGCCCGAACATTTATTCACTCAAAGACCCCCGAGGCTTATGAGCTTCCTAAGGCAAATAGAAAGAGTACGAGTCGTCGATAATTGTGCGTCGGGTGGTGCTGCGGCGTGTGTTGGAAGAAACCTTGGTATGGGGTTCAGATATCGAGGCTCCCTTGTTGCGGACGATCTTTTCATTCGCATTGTCTTGTTCGGTGGCTCGAACACGATCATCTCTGCCCCTCGTGCAATTCTCCCGCCTATGATCCAACGTACATGCTTTATTGGGAATGGTAGTAGTATTAAGCCTCGTTTGTTTGGGAAAATTAGTCATGAATAACTAAATAATTGGACCGAGTAACTTCTCGGGTTGATTCAGATTTATTATTAATAGTTGATTCAGATTTATTATTACTGCTTTTCGACTTACTATTTACCAGGATCTACTATTTTTGGTTGTTTTTAAATTAGAGGTATATATTATGTTGGTGTGGTTCTTTATATTAAATTTAGAATAAAAACTGCTAAAAGATCATATTTGTAATAATTCGCAAAATTAATAATCTACTGACACATTTATATTTCGATGATTTAGAGGGAAAATCTAATAGGCGGCTAATTGCAAGAACAAATTATATTATACTATTAGGATTACTAATATAAATTATTCGAGAAATAGTGATGGTAAATACGTAATAGAGAGAAATAGCGATGCTCGTGTGTATTCGACATGTTGCGCAGCTAAAATAAAAATAAAAATCGGGAGATGCATTTATATGAATACAATCGACGACAGCTGTGGAAATAGAAGGACGTGAATTTGATGCCTCACCCACACTATCGGCTAATATGATCGAGTCGAGTGTCTAACTAAATTCGTAGCAATTGAATGTAAGCATTTCTGCACACGTGGTGATGCACAAAGGTCACTTTCTTCGACAACGTTCCAGAATCACGACAATCAGGCGTATACTTTTATCGTCAATTAGTTCAACAATAACGTTCATAACAAAACCGCGCCCTGTCCGATCCGCTACAACAAAAATCACTTCAACAATGAAAAAAGAAAAACGAATCTTGACCTAAAAATGTATGAAACATAAGTCGCTTGGCGCACAAGTAAAAAATGGATCGAGCTTTCGGTATATATATAACTACCGATCCTGGTTGGGCGATGACATGATTTCAGTGCCGCGTGATTACAGCAAATTGTTATCCGCAGTTAAAACCTTCATCCCACAATTAAGCCATTTCTGATTATTTGTTAAACTAGTCAAGCTTTGATCCCACAATTAATCCAATTTTAGGGTTTATTATAAATAAAAAATTAAAAAAAAAATCGGAGACCTTTTTTCTTTTGGAGAAACGCATGCTCGTTTCTGAGAAATTAAGGGCCTTAGGCGAATTTTAAAAAACTACAATACTTGGTTCAACTGCCGTATCTCGTTAATGGATCACTACATACATGATCGGCCCACGGTCTGCTGGACCCGTTCGACATCGATAGCTAGCTGCAATCAACACACACACACACACACACACACACACACACACACACACACACACACACACACACACACACACACACACACAACTATTTCATGAATTTCGATTGGGATGTGATAAATGTCGTGATCTCAGTTTTAATAATACGGTTTCGACTTCGTACTTGATTTGACCATTTTTTAGGTTGAATTTGGCAAAACTCAGAACACAAAATTTGTAGTTTTTTTAGTTAGCTTATAAATCGAGTACTGCGAATTGACAAATTCGGAGCAAATAGTAATAGTAACAATAACAATATCTAGTACCAAACACAACTATTCAATCCTAGATAATCCTATCATCCCTAACGAAAGAGCTTTAGACAACGATGCATTATCCATACATGAAGACATTACTTTATGAAAATTACACACACATCACACGCACTCTTCTTATTTCTAAAAGGGCCCCAAGTGCATTATTTTTTTTCTTCTTGGGAGCCGTTATTGCTATTATACAATTTTTTTTTTCAAATATATTTCAATATAAAATAATAGGAATTTGAGAAATGTGGGAAACACCATCATAGCCTCCCTTAGCCCTATACTGGCTCCGCCATTGTATATATTAGGAAAAATTACAGTTTCATCCTCAAGTTTGTACGAATTTCATATTCAGTCCCCGAAGTTCACAAAAAACATATTAGGTCCCTCATGTTTCAATAATTTAACATTTTTGGTATTTTTTCGTCAATTTACCGTTACTCCGTGAGTTAAGGCAGTGACGAGCACACGGTTGGTTCCGTTATTATTAACGAAAACTGACGGAAATGAACTAAAAAAGTTGAATTTGTGAAACATGAAGGATCAAATGTGTGTTTTATAAACATGAGGGGACCAAATGTGAAATTGTTGCAAACTTGAGGGACCAAAACTGCCTATTTCACGTTTTAGGCCCCTTTTTGGCGTTGGTATCAGCCCCGCAGCAGCCGGGAATAAAGCAATAGCAACGGGGACGTATAGGAGGGACGTATTTCTTACCTAATTAATAAACCACAAATAAATTAATAGAACTATACATTTAACATTAAAATAAATAAATAAATAATAATAATAATAAAAATTAAAAAAGGAAGAGAATATACCATTGAAAGATGGGGAATTGGTGGGGGTGGTAGTCTTCTTGCTGAGAATTCTAGAAGCTTCCAGACTTAAGGTAAAGCAGCTGGCTATTATTATAAACAAGTAGATAATTATACTAACTGCCTTTCTTGAATGCATTTTTTTTTTTGGAGTGATAATAATATTATGATATTTTTAAATAATTTAAAGAATTGAAATATTTGCTCTTCTCTTTATAGAGGTGATCAGTGAAGACCTTCAGTTGAAAAATCAAAGAGGATGACATCAGCATGCTCACGTAATTGCTGATGTGGCATAAATAACGAAATAGTGTATGGAAAATTACAATTTTCATCCATCGTGTTTGCACCGGTTTTATATTTGGTCCCAAAAAAACATATTTGGTCATTCGTGTTTCAATAATTTAAAACTTTTTTTTTTTGTCGTCATTTTACTGTTAGTCTCCGTCAGTTAATGCAATAATTATTAATTATGTATGAATAATTAAGTAATCACTTACTCAACTAAAACAAAACTTAAAAAAAAAAAAAAAAAGTTGAACACACTCACAAGTCACGCCCATGTTGGGCGATTGTTCACTCCTAATATGGGCGTGGAAAATATTTTTTGCTCCCGTTTCGGGCGTGAAACATGCCATTTCACACCCGCTTTGGATGCGGATAGACAAAAATTCTAATTTTTCAAATCCTATAAAGAGAAAAACTTTTGAAAGTTGAAATCATATTCTTAAAATGAAACTACAACTTGAGATATATTTTTAGAAATAATGAAAGGTAAAATATTATTATTATTATTATTATTATTATTATTATTAGAGGGACCTCGAGGTATGATCAAATAACTTACACACCCATGTGGTATCGGTAATTACAAATAGCCCCCTCATCTATTGCTCCGTCTAACAGTTACACCCTTTCGAAGCTATGATTAAAGAAATTTTCAAGATTCCATGGAATATTCGATATGAATTTCCAGATCTACCGCCAGGGAGATAAATATAATATACCCACAGGGGGTAAATGTAATATTTTAATTTACTTGAGGGGTACTCGTAATTTATTCAAACTTTGTTTGTTTAATAAAATGGCAATTTAGTCAATTCATCATTCCGTTAGTGTTTCTAATAGGTTGTTAGTTTTAAGGGAATATTTGTAATTACCAATAGCATAGGGGTTTTAGGTTATTTATTCCTACATGAGGAGGGTATACGTAATTTACCCGAGCTAATTGCATATAACCCCATGTGTAATTTCGAACTGTTGAAAAAGTCATCGTGTTAAAAATATCAGCACAAACCCCCCTATATTGTGTTTTACGAAGCACACCGCCCCTTACTTCAAAATTCATGGTTGACTTGCATGCAATGAATGAACTACCCCTAATAAGTTGTCAGTAATTTTCAATTTTAAACGAAAAAAATGAAACAAAAATATCTCACACACGGAGCAAACCAGCTTCTCTCCCCTTCACTGCACGTCTAAGAAAAAGGAGAAGAATGGTTGGTACCAATGGTGGGCGGGGAATTTTTTTTATTTTATTTTTCAGATCGGATGAAAATAGCGACACGACGGAAATTTTCGGTGGACGGAAATTGTGGATTCATAAGCTATAGTAGCAGTGGTGGCATTCAAAGGCAGCGGCGACAACGTGGTGGAATTGGAGAGTCAGCTTCGAGTTTGGCGGGGTAACTGTGCAGTGACGGCAAATGATTATTCGAGTTTGACATTCTTCTTCTTCTTCCTCAAGATACGAATTAAGTTTCACAGATTGGAAGAAAATGTTATGGAAATTGGAAGAAAGTGCTTTGAAGGGTTTTTGTATTGTTTTTTGGATTGGGCAGGGATGTGCCGAAAAGTTTGAGCCCCCGTTTTTCTTCCCTTTTGTTTTCTTGGATTTGGAATAGAAATGAACTTCTTGCTCAGATATGGGTTTGGTTGATGGTTTTTGCTACAAAAGTGGAGGGCTGCTCTTGAGGTTGAAGAAGATGGCTTAATTGAAAATATAAAGGACTCAATTGAAAATCTTAAAAACTTCAATTTGGTACTTATGAAATTCCTGGTTGCATTTTGGTATTTTTCGTGTCAAAAAACGAACCCCACTTGCATTCATGGCGAGTGAAGTGCACGATGAGCTCTCAAGGGCCTTATTGCCTTTGACTAATTTTTATAGAGGGGTATTTGCTAATTGTTTTAACACGAGGTCTTTTTCAGCAATTCGAGATTACATATGAGTGATTTTTACAAAAAAACCCTTATTTACCCTTATTATTAATTTCGGTAATGATAAAACCAAATCCAAACATATATGTACACAAAGTAAGCCTGCACTCTCTACTTGTGGTTCACAAACTTGACTTAAAAAATCAAGCAAATAGATTTACACTTGCTCAATTGACACCACATTTTTTTATCCTAACACAAACAACTCATTGTGGGACTCCCCTTCACATGCATTATTGGTGTAGTGGGGCAATGGCTACATTCATATTTGTATTATTTATTGTGAGTTTATATTCACCCATATGACAGAAAATGACTTTATTTTAGTATTGTCTCTATTTTAAAATAAATGTGTTTTAATTCTATTAATGCATATAAATTAAAAAAATATTAAATAATTTTGATTATGATTTTAGGGAGTTTAAAGTTTTTTCTTTTTAACTTTTGGCCGAAAATGAATTTTATTTCATTAAAAAGACGTGAACTTAAATTTTCTTAAAAATCCGATGTTAATTCTGAGTTCTTGAAGCTGGCCAAATCTCATTTAGGTGGTGTTTACAAAAGAATTTAGAAAAAATAGAAATTGGTAATTATGAATTAAGGGAGGGGTACGTGCTTATGTTTAAAAGTTGGGGAGATGCAAAATAAACGGAAATTCTACTTTAAGCAATTCATTTGGAAAATTTACAGTTTTTATCCCTCAAGTTTGTACCGATTTCACATTTGGTCCCCCATGTTCACAAAATCCATTTGGTCTCTCATGTTTCACTAATTTAACACTTTTGGTCATTTCCGTCAATTTACCATTAGTCCGTTAGTTAAGGCAGTGATGGACACACACTTGATTCCATTAGTTTTAACGGGAAATGACGGAAATGACTAAAAGTGTTGTGAATAAGGGACCGAATGTGTTTTTGTAAACTTGGAGGACCAAATGTGAAATCAGTGCAAATTTGAGGGACAAAAACTATATATTTCCCCAATTCATTTTAAGAGAAGTTGCCTAAGGGGTGTTTTTCTTATATATTTCAGCTTAAGGTAGCTTATTTTAAGAGAAGCAGAAGTAGAAGTTGGAATTACAAACACTTCAAAAGTGATTTTGAGCCAAAAAACAAAAAAAAAAAGCTCAATTTCACGTGAGGCAAATTCTAACGAGAAGCAACGTTAGTCATTCTTTCCTAAATGGCATTTTATTTGGAAGATATGCACCTTCCAAGGGGTGTTCTTTTTATGAGGTAGATTTCATTAAATTTGTCAGGAAGTATTGTAAATCGGAATTACGTTCGAATTGCTTATATGCTAGTTCCCTCCCGATCGATGCAGCAACTATAAATCTTGTCGTGGTGGTCTTTTTTTATTTCATCAAGGATATATGCGTCATTAGAGGGATAACTACAATTTTGGTCCCTATATTATCTATTATTGTCGATTTTTGGTCCTTCAATTTTTTTTGGCACGAAATTGGTCCTTAAGTAACCAATTATTTTTACAATTCCGTCTGCCATTTGAAATTGTTGTCAGTTTGGACAGAAAAGTCACGTGCGAGGCACGTGACAATGCACATTAACCCCTTATTTTTACCTATATTGTTAATTTAACCCCAATATCACTTTATTCTGACAATTCCGTCCAAATAAAATTAAATTTGAGAAATGTACTAAAAATGTGAAATGAAAAAAATACCATAGGAGGGTTTCTTGGCATTAGTGCATTATATTTTATTCACGAATATTATTTATTTATGTGTTTTTTTAATCGAGAAGAACACTATAATTAATTTGATTATACCAAATTTTATTAAAGAGTTTATTTTTTTTATAAATATATTATTTCTAATTATTAATATTTAAAAAATATTTACACATATTTCGTAATTTCAGAAAATATTGTTTTCAGTCGTTTATACAATAAAATCGATTTTGCCTAATCTTATAAATTTTATGGTATTTTTATTATTCTTTAATGAATTTTGAATATTATTTCAATTTTAAATAAAAATAAAAAATACAAATCAACTAAAAAATAAAGTGACACATATGTACAATTGATGGCTCGGCGAAGGAGGTGAAAATGGCTGACGGGGCGAGGCTGGGGCATTCAGAACAATTTTTTGGGGATTTGATTTTTTGGACTAATTTATAATAATAAAGTTAAACTGGGGCCAAATAAAAAATATTGGTAAGACACGGAGTAGAAGTGCATGATCACATGCTCGCAAGTGACTTTTCCGACCAAACTAACAACAATTTCAAAAGGTGGACGGAAATTGTAAAAAAAAAAAAAAAAAACTGGCTATTTAAGGACCAATATCGTGCCAAAAAAAGTTTAAGGACCGAAATCGAAAAAGATGTACAATATAGGGACCAAAACTATAATTGTCGCTGTCATTAGACAAGGATGCACTTGCATTTTCATGAAGCTAATAAAATTCTATGGTGTAGAAAGATTGTATGTGTTATCATAATGGGAAACTTCCATTTGCCATTGAATTGACAATTATATATTACGAATTTAAACGAACAACAATTTGAAGAACTATTAGAAAAAGAATACGATAATTTCGTACATAAAACGTGTCAATTAGTGCAAAACTTATCGTCTTCAACACTGCCATCTTTGCATCTTATGAGAACAAGAAGCTGATCTCTCAAGTGCAAAACCTGCAGTCATACAATTACAGTATGAGCCTTTCACAAATTCGAACTAAGGTAATGAACAAATGCTACAAAATATACCTCATCTCGAAGCAACGAAGGAAGCCTTTCTATACAAACTAAGCCTAATATTTCCTTCAAAACTCGTTCGTCCTTAATCGCACACCATGTCTGAGGAGACAACGCAAGTAAAAGTGCCGTTAGGACATCATTTCTAGCTCGGTGAATATCGAAGCCATCATTAGGCGTACAATCTTTGTGGACGAAAGTTTGTTCTATCGTAGGAAAACAACTAGTTTCTGAAGACAATGTATCCGTTACGTGTTTG